CCAACCACACTGACCCCTCGATCCCACCCCCTCCCCCTCAACCTCTACCAATACACCCGCCCTCATGGTATTTGCCATATTATATATAAATGCTTTTAGGACTAATATATTTTCTATTTAATTTCCGAACACTAAAAAGTAAGTAGTAGAAATAAGTAAAAATACCATTTGATTTCCGGAAAAATATTTTCCTTCGTACCAAACACACCCTTACTTCCTTTTTTATTTCATACTTATAATAACAACTAAGCAGAGTTCCTTGCAATAAAGAACGGCTCCGTTAGTCCCCTTATATTATAGGATTAATTGGTGTCTTACAGGCTTACAGTTAAAGCATCATGATTATAGTGAAACACAAACAAAAGAGGAAAGAAACAAAATAAGATAAATTACATAAGTCATAAGGAAGCTTTAATAGTAGCATGTTATAGAGTTCATATATATATAGTTTCATCTCTCCAGTTTGTGATGTAGGATGTTTGGATAAGAACTACTTTTTACTTTCTATATATGATCTATTGATCTATAATTCATTAAAAGGAAAGTTAAGATTTTGAGTCAATATAGAAACAAGACGACTCACATCCTAATTCTGTAGCAAATATAAAGGTAAAAGTACAATATGTTGCTTCATGTTGCAATTTGAGAAGTTCCAAATATCACCATTTTCTTTGGAGCTTCTCTGCTTTCCCTTTATCCCAATACTGACATATATACAATACTTATTTTCTTGCAAGTGTGTACACCCCAGGATCATCTCCAATGGCAAAAACGATCTTTTTATATATATGTCTAAATAGTTTTTTAAAGAAAATATCATATATACAAAAGGCTACAGACACCTCATAAAAATCAATTTGATACATAAAGTAAAACCTTAGAACCATTATAGTCCGACACACAAGCTCACTTTCAATTCTACTTGTGATAATATCACACTACCACATGCGGATCCTAAATTTTGAGTTTAACTTTGGATTTTAGAAAAGGCAGCTTACTGGGTTCTGAATTACTTTGCAGATTGTGGGCTCAACTTCACCTCATCTCCATACAAACCAAGTGGGGAATGCATTGCAGCTGATCAAGAAAACATCAATGAATGGGACAGTTTCCCTACCACAAGATGCTGCCAAAATGTCCTCAACTTCTTCTCACAGGCATTGGCCAAACAGGCAATTACTCAACAAGGAAACCTCTTCCTCAAGAAAGATCAATGGGAACATTGCTCTGGACCCTTTAAGCATCAGCCTTCTGTTTCGATCGAAAACTGTGGCTTTCGTTCCCTTTATCAAGGAAGCACCAAATGTTCTAGTCTATCTTTGACAAATGTTTTACAGGATGACAATTTTAAGGATGTCAGGGACAAGTGCACTGGTTTCGATTCCTCGTTCGATGATGCTTGCAGGAATTGTACTGGTGCCATCAAATCTGCAAGGGATCATTACTTGGATCAATTTTATGCCAGAGATAATGATACTGAGAGAGCCACTTGTGTTATGGCTGTTGTTATTTCAGTTGCTGCCACAAAATTAAATGATCCCTCTTCTATAGATGATTTCTTCTCCTGTTTGCCAGCATTAAACTCTTTAGGTAAGACCAGGAAATGAGATTATTTTTTTAAAATTTTGCTTGATTACCAAGATAATAATATGTTGGCACTTGTGTAAATGGATAATCTTAATTTGGGATTAATTTCATGTAGTAACTTTACTGCTATAGTGAGTATAGCGACTTTATATATTGTTATAGTGGTAAAGTTCAGTTGCTTTAATGTGACAAAATATAGTTCTGTAAGTAGAAAAAGTTCACGGGTCATACATGGGGTTAGATTATCCTTATAGGACGAAGGAGTAATATGTGATATACTTTTTGATGGTTAATTTAAAGTCAAATTTTGAGGATAACTACTAGTTTTAGATTCAATGTTAACTACTAATTATCTTCTATGTTTGTCTTTCTTTGTACAGAAAAGTCAAATGAAGATTACATCAAAATCAAGTGTAAGTATGAGTTTCACAATATTGTAGCATCGTTTTCATTAGGTTTATGGTAAATAAACATGCATGTACCATTCTAACTTATTGCACATCAAAAATTGCACTCTCATCACAGATTCTTTAGCAAAAGCATTGATTGCAATCGTTTTAGCAACCTTTGGGATGATAATGGTGATCATGCTAGTTAAGTATGTAACAAGAAACTCTAGGGCTGGGCGAAAGCTTGTTCTTTCAAAATCCAAGGAACTTGCTTCTTGCCCAGGTCTATATAGTTTCTCCAAAGCTGAGATTGAAAACGCGATAAATTTTGGGGACGAGAAGAAATTTCTGGGAAGAGGTAGTGCAGGGCAAGTGTTCAAAGGGATTCTACCAAGTGGACAAGTAGTTGCTATCAAGCAAATATATAGAAGTAATACCTCTGATTCTTTTACCAGAGAACTCGAGAATCTTTCCAGAGTCAGACATCCTAATCTTGTTTGCCTCTTTGGGTG